GTTCCTGGGAGGTGGTCCCACAGTACTGGCCAATAACAGGGGAGCCAGGGGATCCTCCATTAAAGATGGTGACAGAGTCCCAGTGGCATTCAGAGTGGGGTTCCAGGCTGAAGTAGCCGAAGGTTAGCTGCGGTAAGACAGGGGAGTGGGAATCAACGACATGATTACAAGGTAGGTGGCTACTAAACAGTAGGCCCTGGGGTTAAAACATGCAACAGTCTAGGATCAACAGCAATTTAATTCAATTAATTTGCTTTATTGGCATGAATGTCAATTGAACAGTATTGCCAAGCTACAAGGAAAATAGAAAAGAACAAATCAATTAATACAATTCATTAAATAAATAAAATAAAACAGTAAACATGTGTGTATCTGTCTGTATATAAATAAAAAACCATAAACGTGTGTGTGTGTGTTGTGAGTTTAATGAACTGTATGAATTCAATTCAAACAACTCATAGAGGGTGAGGCCTGGGATATCTGATTGTTCCAGTGATTTTGCCAATTCATCTACAGTATGCACTTCCACTGGGAAGCTCCCATCAGTCAAAATAAGAGTAACTGTAATGGACATCTCACATTGTGGCTCTGCCTTTGCAATGAAACCTCCCATACCCAGAATCCAACATTTTAGGCTACGATACGACGCAAGGGCCGGGAAGTCTGGACATTTGGTTTCAGCCAAAGTTCTTGGTCACATAAAGTTTTATTTAGTTCCATCACTAGAGAGAGATATATAAGTGACATTCCATCAAACAAATTTTGACAGCTACTTCCAACCCACCCTCCCCCACCCCGCCCCCTCATTTCCGTCCCCCAGGCAGAGTACATTCCATCAAATTAATTTTATTTGGTATTTCCTGCCCCCAATTTCCCTACTCTGAAACTTGTGAGTCTTAAAACTTTAAACTGAGTCTGTGTCTCTTCTTCTCTGTGCTGTCTTTCTGCTGTAGCTAAGCATAATGTGTAGCAGGCTGAATAGAGGAATGCCCCTCCCTCGCTCCCTCCCAAGCCACCCACCCCTCCCTCTGTTTTCTCAAGCAGGCACATCAACTTGTGTGTTTTAACTGTCATTAGCATCTTCAGGTAATCTTGTAGACCATGGAATAGAGTTATCTGTAACCCCAGACTCCGGTTGTTAAAAACGCAATCTGGTTTTATCAGACAGAGTCTGTTTTCGAAACAGGAACCTATTTTTATCAGACGGAGAGCAGACTTAGAGAGTGAAGACCTGAGAACCATCAGGCTTCCTGAGACACCCGTCATGACTAAAGTCGACTCCTGTCAGTCTAGGCTATTACCTGGACAAAAGATCAACTCTTCTAGACTAAATCAGACTTACTGAGTCAGACTCCCTCACGCAGACAATCAAGAGGATGTGGGCAGAGTTAGCCGTGAGCCAATGATAAGAGACTAGAAGGGGTTACCATAAGCCAATGATGGGAGTCCGTAAAAATAAAAGGAGAACATTTTCTTCAAGAAAATGCCAAGAGGGCACTTGGATCCTTGAACGATATCTACCTACCAAGAGGGGACCTCTATGCGGTGGAACTGTCTTTTTTTTCTTTCAAAAATGGAAAATTTTAACGTTAGTGTTATTAATATTTAAACATTTCTATGTGATACAGATATCACGAAAATATTCAGGGCCACTTTATTGATAATGAATACAGTTTTACCTGTAATTCAGAAGAAACTTTGACGCATGCACTAATATCAAGGACTGTCGTATTAGCAGCAAAAGGTACTTTATCCAGGTTTCAATTATATAAAATCGCTTATTACACTAGTGCAGTCATTTAAACTTTCTCTTAGGGGAATTCAGGTTTGTCTGTGGTGGTTGGTCATTTTTCTGATCTTTGTGGAATGGTGAAGTAGGCCTTTTAAAGGGCCTTCATCGTTATCTTATTTTGTATTTGCTGCTCATAATTTAATCCTACACAGGTTTTGAATCACACGTCATCTACACTTTGTTGTGGCTATATGGACATCTTCAGGACATTCATTTTTAACTAATTTATGAATCGAGCGAGGTCAGATAATAAGATAATGAAGTTCCCTTTTTCTAATAAGGATAATCTGATATTCAAACTCCAGAGTTTATGACATGAAGAAATTGGTAAAATTAATAATACTTACGAGGAAAATCTCAACCAAGCAGTCTACTGAAACATGATTTGATATTATGCTTTTGTAACAAAATATAAAGTCTCAGGTTTAGTGGTTGTCTTAACCATTTTCAGTCTTGACACTACATTAAAATGAATGGCTGCTCATAAGACAGTGAGTACCAAGGCAGTCATAAAAATAAAATAAAATTAGGACTAAAATGCTCAGCAGCAGGATCCTTTTTTAAATTTTTTTTGCAATTAATTGCTAAAACAGGTTTATTATCAACTTTTACTAAACCTTCGGAATGATTCTGTCCCCAAATATTCTGAAATGATATTGAACAGTTATTATGACCACAGGATTTCATTCAATTTTGCAATGTAGGCCTACTTGCTTCTTCAATCTATATTTTATAGGAATGCATTTTATTTGTTGACTGCATTACAGAAATGTCCATTGTTGGCTGGTACATAATGACACAGAGTTCCCTTTTAGTTCCTTCTTAGCTAGCATGGAGCAACACTCACACTCCAGCATGGATGAATAAAAAGAATGGGATATTTCTATTAAAAGAATATTGTAATCTAAACTAAATAATTAATCTGTAGTTACACTTACAAAATAAGGACAATTCGTATGTAGCAAAAAACACAAAACTACAAGGGTTAACAGCGTCCAAATAACTTCAATTTAGTCTTTCTATAATTTATAGAGAATATGTCCCTCATTCTTAAGTAAAGTCTGGCTCATATCTAATTAGTCACTCTAACAGGCCTCCTCTTTACCTTTAGTAAAAAAAAAAAATTATAGTTTACAACTATAGCAACTGAAAACTAAACTAGAGCTAAAGTTTGATCCTTTAACAGAGAAGCAGCTACCTTTTGCTAATTAGTGTGCAACCCACAGTATACCTGTGAATAAGACTATTACAGAGGACATGAAATCCAGAATCCTTCCCTTGGTGATGAAGTGTTCAAATGCTAGTTAGCTACTTTGTTTATTTAAAATTATGTTATGTTGTACTGGAAGGGAGAAAACTAGTTTAGCTACAAAAGAGCAAATTCATGTGTTTTTGAGTGCTGTATTAAACGGTGGGTCCAGCCAAGTTTAATAACCTTTCGTTTTTGACATAACAGGACAGTAATTTTCTCTTGATGAAAATAAAACAGAAGTTTATAATAAATCTCGTATAGGTAGAAGAATAAAAATCAGCTCTTTATTTTGGCTCAACCGTGATCTGTGATAATAACATTCATTGTACGCTCCAAACCTCAACAGGAACCAACAGCTTCAACAACAAAAGTATGCAACCATATCTATCATTGACTTTTTATTTATTTTATTTTTTTATGTTATGCCCCAATTGTTGTCACTGTGTCTACAGATTGAGCTAGTTGAGCTCAGGTGTTATGTAATGGTGGTAGGTCCCTCAGGGTAAGAACATCTAAATACGACTCATACAGAAGAAACAGTGTCATGATAAAAGCAAACTAATAAATGATGGTTACAGACAGTATGCCGCTCCATGCTCCAGGTTATGGTGCTGACTCACCGTAATAGTGTGGCCCACTGGAGCCTCTAGCAGCCAAGCACAGCGACTGGGGCTGGGGTAGATGTTGGGGTAATTAGGACTGGATAACACCCCTCCCTCACCTGTCTGCCAGCCTCCGCACTCTGCAAAGAAAGAATGATCCATATCAGGAATGTGATGGTAACATTACGACTGCTAGATAAATACCAATCTCGAATTTAAGTATATTTTATGGCACATGAAGCTGTCATTATCGGTCTTACCAGAGAACAAGTACTTGGCCTTGAAGCCCAGGTCTCCCTGAGAGGCGTCCGTCTGGAAATGGACCCAGAGGTCTGGGGTAAAGACTACAATAGGAATGCTGGGGATGGTCTGACCACAATACTTGGCCAACAGCTCCCCGTATGAGTCACCTGAGGGAGGGGGTAGAAAGGTTAACGCATAGAGACAGGATATAATCCATCCATCCATAACTTTCCTAGACCTGCTTTCCCATGCAGAGTCTTGGTAGGCTGAGCCTGTCCCAGCACACCTATAGTAATATGCAAAGATCTGGCAGGCCCTGGACATGTTGCCAGTCTATCACAGGACAGACAGTCAGGATCATGCCCACGTAATTTAGATCTTGCACACATTGCACAAATGCATGGATGATGGTGAAAACGCCAAAATTCCAATTCCCCTTTCAAAGCCACCCCTTTCATATTCCCTACAAGCAAGGAAAGAGTTTTATTTCTGTAATGTTGCACCATAACAATATATTATTTCAAATAAATACTAACTACATGCTAACAGAAGCCAACATATAAATTCAAACTCAATACACATTTTCCACCAGATCAGTCATTCAATTCAGTTCAATTGAATACAACTTTATTAGTCCACAAAGGCAATTTGATATTGGGCATAAGTAAAAACAGACAGGAAACAGACATTACAAGCAAAAGAGCTGTTTGGGACTATATTATCTGTATGGCTTCTGATGTTAATGGAATGTCTTGAAGAAGACTTAATTCATTGGTCAGAAAATGTCATTAATAATGTACAACTTAAAATATTGAAGTGAAGAAGTGTCTCAGCTGGTAACTTGGTATCTCAAGCTTAGATTTGAGGGGGAAATGAGAGAGGGTGGCGAGTCATAAAATCCACTTTCAACTTCCAACTACCTTTTCTGGAAGCGTTGGGTAACACTGCAGACACTGCAGCATACTGCTCTACTCATTCTAGTCTATGATTCAGAAACCACAGGTCTAAAATGTATTTGCAGCAACTTCCATCAGTGCATCCTAGAGCCAATGCTCTCTGTGTGGGACTCACTTAAGCGGAATTGGAGGTAGTCTGACTCGCAAGTCTGGTGGTTCTCCAGGCACAGGTCTTCTATCAGCACCACAATAGAGGAATTGATGTGCTGTGGGTTCTGGATCAGCCACTCACAGTTGAGGTTGTTGCTGTAGTTGGACACCAGGTACCCAGGGGAAGTGAAGTTCCCACCGGCTGGGTTGTTCAGGACACCGCCACACTCTAACAAAAGGCAGCACGAAATTGTGACTGTGACAATGAGTTAGAGGAAGTATTAGAAACACCTCTCTGATGCTGGGATTTTCTCTTCATTTGAGAGCAAGGGGCTTCATGTGGCTTCATGGGCCAAAGTCATGGTGAGAGTATTTACCTTTAAACAATGAAGCAGAGCCACCACCCTTGCTGGTTACTCTGGGTCAGCTTAACAGATGGTGAGACAGTGAGGAGGCTTTAATGGATGAAATCCCAAAGACTTTAAAAATGTCACTTGTCTAACCTCTGGTGACTGGCATAGTGATGTCTAATAAAAACTGTTTCAGAACCTAATGGTCTTGGACTGGGAATTCCTTGGACCCACACTAGGATTTATTATTAGTATGACTCTTCCAAAAGAATCCAAGGTGATCATTAGAGGCAGGGTTTTTTTTGTTCATAATGTCTGGCAATAATCCTGTAAAATCTGTACCTGCAATGTTCTGCCTTACACGTGTTTAAGCATTTACCACATGGATAGGGACAAGACAAGATAAGATTCACCTTAACTGATCCCCAGAAATGAGATTCAGGCATTGCAGCAGCAATAAGTTCAGATAAATGGAGAAAATAAATCCCACCTGCCACAGCTTGTCGTGTAGAGGGTGAGACGGTTATCCAGGGTGTATTATAAGCAGCACTGTAAAGCTTTTGGATTATCTTAAATATGTTGCACTGTAAGTAGAAGTCCAAGTGAGCATGTTACCTGCAGGCTCCTCAGAGGAGTAAGAAACCATGAAGCCACCACTGGACACAGAGGCGTCAGTGTGGAACACAATGGCCATGGTGTTGCCAGAGGAGCTCACCTGGGTGCCTGCTGGTACTGTACCACAGAATCGCTGCAGGTAAGGGGCATCAGCTGCCAACCCGTTCAGAACCTAGAAGTCACAAATGTAGATCATGGAGACACACGGGCACTGGGTCTGTTGCAAGGCATTTCTATTGGAGTTATAACTGTGTAACTGTAATACGTTCTATGGGCTTACACAAAGAGGTTTGTACAAAACCTTAAGATGTAGTGATGAGTTAAACAGTGACTACAGTCACAATGAAGTAAGACACCAAGAAATCCAATAGTTTTAATTATTAATTCCATAAAATTTTTGTAGTTCATCAGGGAGATTTAGTCCTTGTATCGTTCACACTTTGAACACTTTTCTGACCCCTTTAAACAGCTGGAGGTTTAACTTACATTTATGCCCTCAATGATAATCAATTTCAAGTTTCCTGCCTCAAAGTATTGTTAGGTGAATTATTAATTCCTAGTTATGCCTTAAGTGGTCATTGGAATGCTCAAATAACAAAAACAAAAACACAGAGTAGTGTCTAACACACTGGTAGTTTGGGTTTTTTCAGATTCTTTGTCCAGGTTTTGAGATGTCTGCCGGTGATTCCTCTGCCACCATCCAACTACATTTGAGGTGTGAAAACCATGAAAAAAAAATAAAGTACTAATTGAAATCATATTTTGCGGTGACCAACTACATCTTGGTTTAATATGTGAACGTAAATAAGGAGCAAGCTAAAGTGGAAAACGTAAAGTGATGAACCATCAGGAAATGTTGGCAGAAGGGACTCACATCAACGTAGTCAAAAGCACAGAAAGCACCAGAATCTTCTAGCCGTAGGTCATCGATTGTGAGTGTGACCCGGCGGCCTAGTGACACCACCAGCTCCCAGCGACACACCCGGCTGTGTGGGTACAAGTTGGGGTAATTGGGAGAGGAGATAGTTCCGGAGGGGGCATTCAGCTCTCCTCCACAGGCTGCAATAGGAGGAGGGGAAAGTACAACAAAGAGACATCCAGCATGAGATTTGTGAATCAATTTCCATCTCTGTGAGCCTAAATTAAAATAGAGTAAACATTTATGGAAATGTGGGGCCATTTAATGTTCGATGCTTAACATGTAGTTACAATAGTAATGCAATAGTCTTACATATTTAGCTGACTTACAAATGATATGTATGATGTTATAGTTTCAAGATATTATTTGCTTATTTTGTGTTTCCAACAAGGAAAATCTGAAGGTATTTTGTTGACCATGAAATAGAGCACTCATTACAATGGTCGAGCTGCAACCAGCACAAGTTTAGTATTTTTACTGGATAAAAATACACAAAAAGGGTTTACAGTAAGTGTAATTCTGCCAGCAGAGAGAAATTCAACAGCAGTCAGTGTGAAATGAATTACAGTCAATGCATACACTGAATATAAAAATAGTGATTCTCAAAGAATCTACATGTTGACAAAGCAAGACTGCCTGGGTTAATAGGCATTGGTTGGTTTGAGAGTTTCCTTTGCAGATGAAGTAGTAGCTGCAGCTTTCCCCTCCAGGTATGGTCTGGATGATCCAGCTGCATACTGACTGCAATGCATTCTGTGTGCATTTACACCAACATTAACTTCCATGTGTTTTAGGTTAAGATCCAGATGCATGTTAATACAAGATTAAAATGGTCTAGTAAAGTGGTAACTGTGCATAAATAAATAGAAATAATGTCAAGTGTTCCAGAAGTAAGAAAAGCCAAATTAAAATTGACATTTGTAATACTGCAAAGGACTAAACATCCATCCCTGTACCATTGTTCAACAGGATGCAGTGCAGTTCAACTCCATTTGTCTCAAGAGATGGACATAATATTTTTGGCGGCCTTGAACAAACGTTGTCTGTGAAGATTCTCAGTCATCCAGGTCTTAGTTATTCAAGGAAGGTTCAAATCAAGGGCCACTAGACTTGGTTGAAGATATTTGAAGATGTTTCACCTTCGGGGTTGTTATCAAAGTGATAGATACTACTGGTTTGTTAGTGCTCCTGGCTGTTGTAACGACAGTCTTTGTGGTTACTGGAGACACCCGAAGCCAAGTCTGAACAGCCATCATTGGCATTGTCAAATGAGGCCAAATGTGAGCGTTTGTTCAGTCTCTTGGGAAGAGACAGCATTGTAGGTGGGGGATAAGTGGTGTCTTAGCCCTCCTCCCCTGTTGAGAGACTGTTTCTCTCTTCTGGTGTAAATGGCCTTTTTCACTCACCATTCAACCATCTGTCCACCCTGTCCAGAATATGTACCTTGATGTCACTGAAATAGTGTTCATTGTCCTTCAGATGTAGGTAAAGTCTTGACCTGAGGAGTTGGCCCTTCTGTGTTGAGCCATACGTCTGTGCACAGATTGTTAAGTTTACCCAATATACAGGTCAGTGCATTCCTTACTGCATTGGACAGCATACACTAGACTGCATTTCTTGTGGATGTGTGGTCTTTAGGTCTTAGCATGTTTCTGGGATTAAAAAACACAGGGATGTGGTGTTTGTTGAAAGTTTCCCTGACACTCCAGACACGCAGGGAATCACAATGTTGCAATGTTGTTGCGTTTACTCTTCTTCTCCTCATCACCAGTAGTGTTGGTGTCCTTCCTGGATCTGGCTGTTTTTATTAAGGTCCAGTTTTGGGTATCCACAAGGTCCAGTTTGGGTCGAGAGGAGAGCTTTTATAACATTAAACAAGAGCTTGTGTGGGTATCATGGATAAGTTTATCTTGATTGGAGCGTTAGTTTTTGAACAAATTAATCATTGTTCAACAGTTGAAATCATGAAGGCTTCAAATCTTATATCAAGTGCTGTAGTTAATGTTAATTTATAACACAATATTTATAATACACCCCACATGTTTCATTTTTCACCAACACCAATGGACAAAGGCCTAAGTGAGAGACTGGAATGAATTTAAGAAGCTAGTGGAACAGCAGCTAGCCACTAAAAGTCGTCAGGACTTTTAGCGGCTAGCTTCTGTTACCACTGTCTCTGGTGACAATACTCACATTCGCATGTTTACCCATGTGTAAATATCATGTAAATATAATGCAGTTTGTGATCCTGATTTTTATAATGTTAGGAAAATGATCATACCTTCAACACTGGCTTCAAAAGACAGACTGAAGCCAGCTGCGCTTCCGCTAGCATCACTGACAAACCTGACATAAGCAAAACTGTTGGACGTGTCCATGGAAGCTGGGAGGTTGCTGCCGCAGTTTCGGCCCAGTAGGCGCCCTACACACACAGAACAGCACAGGAAGGTGATCAAATATTAAGTCTATGACTGACTTGCATCCAAGTTGATCGTGTTTATTCTCCACATACAGCCAATGCACCAACTGCACTGACATGAGGAAGCTGTCAACACACACACAGATTCAAACCTAACCAGGAACTTGTTCTGCTGTGTGCATACAAGGAATCATACAGCTTTGGGATAAGCACTACATGTTTTGCACACATTGTAACATTTACATCTGAAATGGGAAATGTGTGAAGCCACTTTAAAACTAAGGTCCATCACAATCACACTGAATTTCTAAAATGGTATTTAATGCATTGTATACTGGTTATGTTGGTTAAGACACAAGAAAAGTAGCTGAACCCATCCTCTTGTCTTCTCACCTGAGGCATTGTACTCTCTAACCTCCACATAGTCAGCAGAGCATCCTGGAGCGGCCTGCAGGCTGAAGTTCCCATAGCTGAGAGTGAGGTAGTGCCCGGTGGGCCCCTCCAGGTACCACTCACAGATGGAGCTGTCGGGATAGTTTCCTGGGAAGCCAGGGCTGTGGATCATACCCCGCTGACCTATGTAGGTACCTCCACATGTTGCTGTGAGGAATTGAAGAGACAAAATGAAAAAACGACCCTCTATGTAGGACTTGCAGTTTCCTGACACCATCAGTGACAGTCTCTCAACCAGAAACGGTGGCAGCTCACACCTAAGAATTTCAAGTGACATATTTCCAAACACAACAAATACAGAAAGTGGCTCAAAGTGTGTTTGTATACTTATGTAGGATATGCTTTATACTACATCCATCGTCAACTGCTTATCCTGCAAACAGGGTCGTGGGAGGCTGGAGACAATCCCAGCTGACATTGGGCGAAAGGTGGGGTACACCCTGGACAGGTCGCCAGTCCATACGACAGTATATCATAATTTGATCTGAATCCTTATCCAAAAACCAAGACCTCGATTTGGAAAACCCTCTTCACATTGTGTGTGATTTACCTACCTATGGAGTACTTTGCCTTGAAGCCTTTGTGTGTGACACTGCTGTCGGTACGAAACCTGAGCAGCATGGAGGAACCTGTTGAATGTTGGGTAGATGGTCGGGTGTTGCCACAGAGCCGGGAAATGAAGCCAGCATTGGAAGTGGAGCCATCACGCAGCTCCAAGTAGTCGTACATACAGCTGAGAAAAACAAGAATGAATACCTGAAAACCTCTCTTTGGTATCAATCAGCTTAACTGGTTAGCTATGTGTACACATACAAGTAATTTGACTCTGGTTCAAATAAATATTTAACAAAACAAATCATTAGACACTAAGGTAAAAAGAAGGACAACACACTGGACAAAGACACGTAAAGTGAATGTAACACTGTTCTGCCCTACAGGTCTCATGAACAGCGTCCAGGTTCGGTTACTTACACTCAATATGAATACTAACTGTAATGTGTGTCTGATATGTGTCGAGTGTGTGTCTATTGGTACAAGAATAAAACCTGGCTACTGGTGTGGATGGTCTGACTCACAATGCACCCTTGAACTCTTCTACACAGTGTACCTTAATCAAATAAATCTTATTGAAACTAAGTTTAAAAACAAAACATTTATTAAGCCCAATTAAGCCCCAGAATCAATACTGGCAACGAAATAAAAATATTTCACCGCCCAATTACCTGTTTCAGGCAAACATCACATAAGAAAAAAAATGCAGCAGTTGAAGTTCCACTCTATTGACCTTAATGGCAAAGCTAAACAGTAATATGGCAGGCAAATGTTCTAGGCACTTCAAACACATTCACTTACAATTGTACCACTCCCAAAAACAACCTTATAAAAATATAAGAGATATAGGTGGCCCACCCTCAGAATAAAACAAACAATAATGCCGGCTGTTAGTAGCTTGCGTATGTTGGGCCACCAGAATATATCGGCCTCCGACTGTGACTGCAATCCAGGGCTGGAATGCGACACAAAATTCGGCCATGGCATTTTTGGTCCTGCAGCGTTGGGCGGGCCCTCGCACTTGTAACGCGCCCGGGTGTGAGCCGGCCGAGTTGCACATTCTGGAGCTCTGCCGGTGCGGCTGTAAATTTGCTACGCGGATCCGACGCTGCATGAAGGTGCTATATGTCACTTCCTGTATCCCCTATGTGGAGCTACATAGCACTTGCCGCTATGAATATAAATAGGTATTGGCGTGTAGATGTCTTCGGGATGGGACAGTTATCAAGCACGTAAAGTTTGGTTCAGATGTGAGCATGTACACTGAAGTTACAACAACTTCCTGTGTCATGGCGAAGACTTGATCTTTGACGCCACGCCACGGACACGCCCATTGACGAAAACTTGCAAATAGCACAACTTTTCATCTTCAATGCCTTTAGAAGGCACAGCAGAAATTTGAGGTCGGTCGGACTAAATCCCTAGGAGGAGTTTGTTAAAGTACGAAGTGTGTAAATCATCCAAAATTTGACGTAAAATTCAAAATGGCCGACTTCCTGTTGATTTTAGGGCATCGCTCCAAGAGGCTTTTTTGTGCGTCTGGACAAGATACACGTACCACAGAAAATTCGTGCACATAGGTGAAACGTGCGGCGGGGGCTGCTTCGTTAAAAGTCACTTCCTGTTGCCAGCAGGTGGCGCTATGACTGTGGGTGAATGTCAGCATGTACATGTGTTCAGGGCGGGACTCTCATCCTAGATGTACAGTTTGGTCCAATGTGAGCATGTACACTGAAGTTACGACAACTTCCGTGTCATGGCGAAGACTTGATCTTTGACGCCACGCCACGGACACGCCCATTGACGAAAACTTGCAAATAGCACAACTTTTCATCTTCAATGCCTTTAGAAGGCACAGCAGAAATTTGAGGTCGGTCGGACTAAATCCCTAGGAGGAGTTTGTTAAAGTACGAAGTGTGTAAATCATCCAAAATTTGACGTAAAATTCAAAATGGCCGACTTCCTGTTGGGTTTAGGCTATGGCTCCAAGAGACTTTTTTGTGCGTCTGGACAAGATACACGTACCACAGAAAATTCGTGCACGTAGGTGAAACGTGCGGCGGGGGCTGCTTCGTTAAAGTCACTTTCTGTTGCCAGCAGGTGGCGCTATGACTGTGGGTGAATGTCAGCATGTACATGTGTTCAGGGCGGGACTCTCATCCTACATGTACAGTTTGGTGCAGATGTGAGCATGTACACTGAAGTTACGACAACTTCCGTGTCATGGCGAAGAGCTGATCTTTGACACCACGCCACGGACACGCCCATTGACGAAAACTTGCAAATAGCACAACTTTTCATCTTCAATGCCTTTAGAAGGCACAGCAGAAATTTGAGGTCGGTCGGACTAAATCCCTAGGAGGAGTTCGTTAAAGTACGAAGTGTGTAAATCATCCAAAATTTGATGTAAAATTCAAAATGGCCGACTTCCTGTTTACTTTAGGCTATGGGTTCTTGAGGCTTTTTTGTGCGTCTTGATACGATACATGTCCCCAGAAAATTTCGTACATGTAGGTTGAACGTGAACGAGGGGCTAATCTTTTCCAATTTTCTAGGTGGCGCTAGCGAGTCATTTTGCCATGCCCATGTGCGAAACTTGTAGAATACGAAATTTTTCACCGGTTCTGACATGTTTGCAAATTTTGGTGAGTTTTCGAGTATGTTTAGGCCATGTCATTTGGGCCTACTTTGCAGGAAAAAAAAAAAAATAAATAAAAAAAAAAATTAAAGCTGCAAGCAGCGTTGGGCGGGCCCTCGCACTTGTAAGCGCGTCCGCGTGTGAGCCGGCCGAGTTGCACATTCTGGAGCTCTGCCGGTGCGGCTGTGAATTTGTTACGCGGTTATGACGCTGCAAGAAGGTGCTATATGTCACTTCCTGTGTCCCCTATGTGGAGCTACATAGCACTTGCCGCTATGAATATAAATCGGTATTGACGTGTAGATGTCTGCGGGGTGGGAGAGTTATCAAGCACGTAAAGTTTGTTTCAGATGTGAGCATGTACACTGAACAATAATGTACCCAAACAATAAAATAAATTCCTTTTATATTTCCCTGCCTTGTTGTTTATGTGTACATACAGAGGAAGAATGTGAGAACAGCACACATTTCATCGTTACTGTGTTTCTGCTCCAGCCTGCCTAAAAGAAAAGCGTTTTTGGGATTAAATGGACTTTATTAGCTGCTGCAGTGCAGGATGAACTCAGAACAGACCCATTTCTCACCTTATTATTCTAAACCATGCAACGAAGAAGAAGAAATGCATAATAAATCCTGGGACAAAATCTGTCCACAAATACTGTACAGCATGTAGTCTAATGAACAAGACTTGTGTTATAGCTGACTTGGGCAGTGAAATGTTTAATTTTTTTAATTCATGTGGTCATAGTTGTCCACAACTCAAATCAGAATATGAAGAAATGTTTTATACCACCTCAAGAAGGCTTCCTATCAGAAAGGTAGGAAGGTATTTCAAATGTACAACTGCAGTCCTGAAATCTAAGTAAAGTAATTTCCCTGACATTTTGTGTTACTTTACTTTTAATAGACGCATGTAACAGGTTTTATACTTCCTGTGAGTATAATCCAATCAATCTTATTTTCATACTGTATATCCGATGTGTAATTTGATAAATTGTGTTGTATGTCGTGCTCGCATCTCAGAGAAGACTCTGACTGCAACATGCGTCTTTGTAAAGAGAGAAACGGACAGAAAAAGTCTCTAACTCTGCCTGTCAGCTCGCTCTGCTCCGTTAAAACTGAATTTACCATACAGAATTGAATACGAGTGCACTCCAGATTTAGCTGCAGCCAGCTGACCGTGTGCTTCTCCCTATACCGCAGTTCTGTGTCCATGCATGCAGCAAACTGAAAGCACTGTCTGTCGGAGCGTCTACATGAAAAGAGAAGGAAGACATTGCTGGTAGTATTGTCTTCAGAGTTGTTAAACACCTCAGTGCACTGAAGGAAGCCATCTGACTGTGTGAGGGGCAAGATCGTTGATGTCTGCAGGCAGAGTAGAGCTCTCCTGTCTGACTGGTCCACCAATAGCAGAGAAGATGACCCCTTGAGACACAGCCCCTCCTCATTTGCATAATGAGGCAGAAATGCATACAAAAATTTAAAAAAGACAGGCAGAAATAAATACCATGGGTGAAAATAAATAAGGTAAATAAATACAAAGGAAGAATAAAACAGACAAAAATATTAAAACACACACATAAATAAATACATTAAAAAAATAGTAATAAATAAAGTTGAATAAACAAATAAGGTAATTATAACAAAGGTGAATAAGAAAGGCACTAATTAAAATATAAACATTTATGTCTCCTTGTATAATTTAATTACTACCTACATTTATTTATTTACTTTATTTTTTTGTGTATTTAATTGGATACTTATTTATTTATTGAGCATTTATTTATTTCTGTATTTATTTCTGGCTGTGTCAGGATCGGTCCTCCATAACGGGGTGGGAGAGTTATCAAGCACGTAAAGTTTGGTTAAGATGTGAGCATGTACACTGAAGTTATAACAACTTCCTGTGTCATGGCGAAGACTTGATCTCTGACGCCACGCCACGGACACACCCATTGACGAAAACTCGCAAATAGCACAACTTTTCATCTTCAATGCCTTTAGAAGGCACAGCACAAATTTGAAGTGGTCGGACTAAATCCCTAGGAGGAGTTCGTTAAAGTACGAAGTGTGTAAATCATCCAAAATTTGACGTAAAATTCAAAATGGCCGACTTCCTGTTGGTTTAGGCTATGGCTCCAAGAGACTTTTTTGTGCGTCTGGACAAGATACACGTACCACAGAAAATTCGTGCACGTAGGTGAAACGTGCGGCGGGGGCTGCTTCGTTAAAAGTCACTTCCTGTTGCCAGCAGGTGGCGCTATGACTGTGGGTGAATGTCGGCATGTACATGTGTTCAGGGCGGGACTCTCATCCTACATGTACAGTTTGGTGCAGATGTGAGCATGTACACTGAAGTTACAACAACTTCCTGTTTCATGGCGAATCATCGACGCCACGGACACGCCCATTCACGAAAACTCGCAAATAGCACAACTTTTCATCGTCAATGCCTTTAGAAGGCACAGCAGAAATTTGAGGTCGGTGGACTAAATCCCTAGGAGGAGTTCGTTAAAGTACGAAGTGTGTAAATCATCCAA